CGAGCAGCCAGCAACAAAGGTATTTTGCCTTTTTTTTCTTTCTCTGCTTTTTTTTTCTTCTCTCTTCTTTTGGTTCGTGTTTTGTCTTCCCGATTCTCTCTTTTTTCTTCGTTTTTTTTTCTTTTCTTTATCTGCTCATTTCTCTCTCCCCTTTTCTTTCTTTTATATTTTTCTTCATTTAACTTTTTCATCTTCGTTTTTTACTTTTTTTTCTTTTCTTTATCTGCTCGTTTCTCTGCTCATTTTTTATTTTTTTCCCTCTTTGTTTTTCTGTGCTCGTTTCTGTGCTTGTTTTTTATTTTTTTCATCTTATGAAGATAGGATAGTTCTGTTCATGTGAATTGATTGATAATTTTGTCATATGCATTATAACTACATGATATATTATATTATATATTGTTGTCATGTTTCTCTTGAGGAATTAGACATCATTTATGGAACTAAGAAAATAATTAGTAATTTTACGTTTTGGTCTTACTGTCTTATACTTAAGATGGGTTAATCAAATGATTGTTTGACTGTAGAAATGCTAACTAATTTACAAAGAGATTTACGGACTAATTGCTTGTTTCTTATTAATACATATCATGATATCAATCATAATTGTCCAAAATGTGATACTATTTGAATTCCTGTGCGAGATTGCGAGTATTGATTCTTGCTATTTGAGCTAGGTGTAGTGCTACACTGCTATTAGTTGACTTGAAAGTTGAAACTTGATTCGCCATTTATAACCTGTAAAGAAGGAAAACAAAATTTAGCAATATAGTTGTTAGTGTCATGCAATATAATATATTAGTATGAAAGTTTGAATAATTTTTCATTCATCTTGTATATCTCAAAATACTAGTGATGTGTTATGTAAAAAAAAAATACTAGTGAATAGTGATGTAATATTGCAATATGAATTTAATGTATATATGTGTTTTGGTGTAGATATGTCTTCATCGGCGAGTGGTGGAAGAAGACAAGATCCTACATGGAAATATACTTCATTGGTTGATGAAGGGAATGCCAATAAACATAAGTGCATATTTTGTAATAAGATCACAAATGGCGGCATATCCCGACAAAAAGAGCATCTAATCGGGACGGATAGAAAACGCAAAAATGTGAGTCTTTGTCAAAAAGTCCCTCCCGATGTGGTTGAAGAGCTAAAAGATTATGAAGAAAGACAAAAGATGGCTAAAAGACAACAAGCTATAGATGAATATCTCCCCGAACTTGGAGATGAGAACATGGTGGAAATTGATGATGAGGAGGATGAAGATAAACAAGTACAAGAACGTAGAGATAGAGGAAAAGGCTCGGCGGTTCCTAGGTCATCTTCAATAACGGCAAGAGGAAGAGGGAGTGTTGGCATGCACAGTGCGGGATCTTCCACAGGCTCAAAGAGGAAGGGGCCGATGGATGCATTTCTTACATTCGATCCCGCTCTTGAGGTCGCCAAGGATGAAAGAAGGCACAAGTTGAGACAATCGTGTATTGAAGAAAGTCTCAACAAAGATGCAGTGGCTAAAGTGCATCAAGACATAACTCGGTGGTGGTATCAAGCCGGCATTCCCTTTAATGCCGCTCGTCTTAGATCTTTCAAAATCATGTTAAAGTCAGTGGGGGCTTTTGGGCCTAACTTGCCTCCTCCGACATTACACCATTTGAGAGAGCCTTTGCTTAGAAAGGAGAAAAAATACACTGATGATCTGATACAACCTCATAAAGAGGAATGGGCTACCAAAGGTTATTCTTTTATGTCAGATGGTTGGAGTGACAGAAAGGGGAGAACATTGATCAATTTTCTTGTGAACTCTCCTCGTGGTACAGTGTTTCTTTCATCTATTGATGTGTCTGATGAGATCAAGACGGGTGACAGAATGTTTGAGATACTTAGTGAGCAGATTAAGCTCATAAGACCTCAGAATGTTGTTCAGATCGTCACGGATAACCATTCTAATCTTAAATATGCAGGTAAATTTTAAGCAATTAATT